TTTGTAAACTCTATCCATCCGGAGAGACGGATCAGAAAAAAAGAAGTTTCACCGTTATCGTTTCCGGTCACGTTCTGACCTGAATGGCGTTCCTCCATTTTTCCGGCCCGGACCCGTTCACAATTTTCCTTTCGGATTACGTTATCTCGGGATCGACGGTTGGCGGTTTCACACGCCGCTGCTCGGACCTACCTGCTAATTCGACAAGACCTGTCTCGATCGGGTTCTCGTTATCTTTGACGCTGCGTGCGTGCGGTGTCGTCGCTTACAGTATCGTGCCCGTGTCCTAATCTATCGAGTCCGGAGTCCTCCCCAGCCCGAAACGAGAGGTGGTGTTTCCTCTCTTCCTCTCCTCCGCCACACGGACGTGACAATATTTGTCGCGACCGACGACCGAGGCGAGAGCAATAGGCGCGGACGCGCGTTATTTGCCCTATTCCCTGTGAGATGCCGTCTGTTTGCCGAGGCTTTGTTTCCACCAGTTTCCGTTTCCTGCGCCAACACGGCGGCATCTCTGATCCATCTGGTCACCGAATACGCACGACCGCTTTTGGATATCAAGATAACGCGATTTCTCGGTACACTTTCAACTGCTGATTACGACCAGACACCCGGATCTCTGCATCTCCGTTTGTTCACGTCGCTTCTGCAGCATACTTAACGTCAAAAGAACTGAAAGAACACTACATTTTTTCGGATCTTCACAAGAAAAATATACTTTACGGTTTAATATATATAATCTTAATTATGTTAATTATGCAGACTGTAGCAAATAAGTATCTAATTGTGACTGCGATTCAACGAAGTAGCGATAATAATTTTTAGCAATTAAAAGATCGATAGCAATTTTCGCAAGACAGTAATTTTCAAATTAGTTTTTCAACATTTATACATGTGAAGTTTTAATAAAATATATAATTATAATATATCGTATTATTTGTATATCTTATATTTATATAAGTATCGCGTATTACTTGTATATCTTATATACTTATATAATGTTATTTACATATCTTATATTTATATAATTTTATTATATAAATTACAAAATACAATCCCGTAATTTTTAATATTTTGTTCATTAATCAAAATAATAATATATCATTAATTATAAATTCATATTACGATAGAAAAATAATGTTAACCCTAAGTATACACACTGTTTTTGTGACGACGTCGTATACACTGAGGTCCCGGAGACCCCATCCATATTTATTACTGTAATTCTAGTAAAAATGAACATATTTCAATTAATTTTTTTTTCAATCGATAGACAATCGACCAAGGAACAAGCTCGTAATGTTTAAAAGTCGATAGAATTAAGGAGCTCCAAGATATACGGGTTCGAAGAAAAAGAAAAGTTCAAAAAATCTCGATTTAGCTTTTTCAAAAAATCATATCTTTTTTGTTTATAGACTGATTTGAAAAATCCTTAAAAATTCTGAAAGAGCATATTTGAAATAGTAATAAAAAAATTTGGTGATCCGACATATTTTAATTTTTTAACAAAACTGCAAACAATCCCGGAGCTCCTACGCTCACTTCAACTATTCACTGCTCGGTTATTGAACGACAATTGCTGCACGTCAACACGTCTTCCGACTGAGGACATCCCAAACTTTTTTTACGTCAATATCCCAAAGCCCTCCCCTTCCAATTTCAGAAATTCCAAACCGAGAAAGTTTCGCTGGCGTCCCGAGGACTCCAGTGTGTATATCTATAAGGTTAAGAAATGTTAGTGTATTTGGACAGAAATGTGAGACTCAATATTTTTCGAGTCGATCAACTCGAATTTGTTATGAATTATTGCAAGATAAAATTAAAATTTTAGTACCTAAAAGGAACAGAAGTTTCAAAAAATAGTTTCAAAATTGTGCGTATTTCCTTCCGCATTAATTGTTTAAATTATATTCTTATTAAAAATGTGTTCGCTCATTTCCTTAAATGTCTTTATGATTTAAAATTTATGTTGAACGAATAGAGTGTTATATGCGGTTGTTGCATTTAGTTAGAGATTTTGCAATAATTTTTTAGATACTAGCTTTTTAGACATTAAACAATTATATTCATTACATGAACAGAGAGAATTTCCTTTTAAAATTTACCCTGAAAATCATGTTAATCGTGGGACACCATAGTATTTCGACAAATCTTATATGATTTTTTCTGTTTTTTTATTGTGCACTACAATAAATTTGTTATAGTATATATTTTAAAAAATAGTAAAAATCGCATAAAATTCGTCGAAATACTATGATGGTATGTTGTCACATAAACATGATTTTCAGGTAGATTTTAAAATAAAACTCTTTCCGTGTACGTGACATTGTAATTAGAGTTTTTTGAATTCTTCAGTTTAAAAGATTTTCAGCTTAAGACTAGTTTTGGATGAATCTCCGACTTTCTGTCATGGAAATAAATCTCTGATTTCCCTAAATTTTGATGATCTTTTAGAAGAAAATAGTAGTGTACAGATGACGGTGATAAGAATTTTATGGGTCTTATTGACAATACGCACAACCTCTCTCTCTCTTTCTCAAATAACGTGAAAAAATAATGAACTGGAGTTTCTCCAGTTTGAAAAGGAAAATGACAGACCTAATCTTAATGGCCTTTTTTTTAGAGCAATAAATTCTCGTACCGCATATTTCTATTATTTTTCTTTTTTCCATTTAAAAATCGACCTTCGGGGAAATAGTAGTTTGAAAATCTATCGTGACAATTGTGACAATGTGATCTGAGCAAATGACATCAAAAGTTGCATCATAAAGATGTAAAATCTGTACGTTTTTAATAAAAAAGATTAAAATATATTACATACTTTTGCGATATATATGATAAATATATCGATAAGTAAATAATATTAGTATAATCAAATACAATTTAATTAAATTCGGCACTTGCTTGACATTAAACGCGCGGGAAAACTAGGAATCAATATAATTAGCAACATTGAGTACAAGTCTACCGACGTTTCAATACCATTCGCTGCATCATTATTTTACACCAAAGCAGTTACATACTTTTGACATGGGCAATTTCTACAGCAATCAATATGTATTCCTAACATGCCGTCGTGCATGTCAAAAATACTTAAACATCTCTTAATCTGTCATTTAAATCGCCATTAAGCCAGCGAAGAGACTACCCTCTATTTACTATTATCCGCGTTCCTATTGTCATTCCGATGCCTCTCCATCTTTGGCGATGCGTTTTCGCAGGCTGAATCGGTGGCCACACGGCTCGGCGGTGAAGTCGCCACATGCCAAGCTCGTCGGCGTCGCCTTTGTTGCCAATCGCTCCCTCGTTTTCTTCCTCTTCATCTCGTCCTCTTCTTCCTCTCTTCATCGTCGTCAATCCTCTTCGCCGTTCCCGAGGAATTTTTCCACCACTCGATCATCCCGGTGACTCGTGAGGGAGGCGATCGTCCCGTCCGCATGGGATTGTCCAATGAAGCGATACCGCAAGATCTCGATGGGCGGCGCCCGGAATCCTGGCGATGGCTCTCCGGTCCAGCGACTTCGTGGTGGGGCCCGGTGGGGCCCGAGCGGGGCCGTCTGGTGGGGGGATTGACATCGACTACTGTGCATTTCCCACGTGCCCTGGGAACCCCCGCGGCATCGTGTCAGCCCCCGCTCTTCGCTTTTGCACGCTCCTTCCACCTCCACCTTCTCCCACACTATCTGCTTCTCATCGTCAGCGGCGAGCGTCTCTCCTTCTGTCTGCCTGTCTGTCTCGCTTTCTTTTTCTCTCTCTCTCTCTCTCTCTCTTTCTTTCTCTCTCTTTCTCTTTCTTTTTGCTTCTGCTTATCTCTGCCTTTCTCCCTATCTTTCTTCACCTAACGCGGTAGAAATCAAGAAATCGACGCACCCGTGCGATTTTCTCCAGGAGAATCGGTTCGTCGCTTCGCCTTTGTGCGTAGGTGTTGGGATTGCCACGGCGAGAACACGATCGCTTATATTGTTTATCCACGAAAATATCCACAGCTCTGCTCCGAGGTCGACCGGCAAACACGTAGCAACACGTCCTCCTACACACAGATAGGCAGGTAAGATAGGTGGAACGCGCGCGTACGCGGCCGAAGGGAGTCAGTGGCTCTAGCTTTTGGATACGAGCGCTACCTCCGTAGCTTTTACGGCCAGGGTTGGCTACCGCCCCCGCGGGGGGTATCCTTTTGGGAAAGGGCGAAGGCGGAAGGAAGCGGGCCCGAGTATGCCGGAGCGGTATTCGAATACTTTAAAAGAAGGTAGGGGAGACATCTCGAGATTATACCAGAAGGGGTCTTGGCGTGGGTGAAGAGGGATGCTCTCGTCTCACGGTTATGAGGGCGGGCCCAGACGCGATGCGGTGGAAGGGATCAGAACCCGTAGTGCGTGGAAGAGAGGGAGCAATTCCGCGGGGACAGTTGAAGGGAGGGGAAGGCGGACGGGTACCAAGCGGGAGCTCAGGAAGCCGCGTCGACGAAGGATTTGTGAATAACCGCGCTGCTATTCGGCGACCGGGTGAGACAAGGACGCACGTAGACTCGGGACAAGGCGCGCTACCACTTCTTCCCTTCTTCGTCGAGCCTCCTCTTCATCATCGTCCTCACCTCTCTTCCTCTACCAGCACCCGCCGTCACCCTCTTCCCTCATTTTCCTTCTTCTGCTCCCGTTCCTCCTCCGCATCCTTCTCACCACCACCATCTCCTCCTCCACCACCTCCACTCCCCCGCCTCCCCGGCCGCCTCTTTTCTACCTCTACCACCGCAACGAGGTCGAGGAAGGAACATCCTGGACGTGTACGTTCCCCGTGGAATTGAGGGAGGCTACCTTCACACGATAACTGGTGGGTATCGGTGAGTTGGTTCGGTAGGGAGGTGTCTCCCGGTCCTCCAACCAGAAGAAGCCAAACGACGACGACGACGAGGAGACCTTTGGCGGTTACACACGGCGTCCTACCGTCTTCTGGTGTGCCTACCTATTCGGGCTACCAGCGAACCGAGCGACCAAACGAAGCTTCAGTCGACGCCGCGCACCCAAACGGTCCAGACCTGTCAGCCCGGAAGACACACGCGCAGCAACTCAACACTTTCACGAGCTACCGACCTACTAAGTAATATCGGGAGATCGCGACTGTTGGCAGCGTGACACTATATACGCGCACCGCAGTTCATTTTAATAACTATAAACCGCATTTCGCGAGTTTCGTTCTTTCGTTCATCGAAAGTTTACGCTTTGAAGTTCGAAGATTTTCCTCTGCGGAAGAGTACCACTGGACATTGCTCGAGGACGAATCCTTATTCGCATTTTTTTTCTATCTCTATCGGTAAGTCACTCAATTGATATCATCTCTTAGCATAGCATATCTAACATTACATGTAATATAATACATATCATTTTAATAATATATTATATAAATATTTATTTTATCTTTGAATAGAAGTAGTTTTTTTAAATAATACATATGCTAAATGCTTAATATAATAACGTTATTAATAATATTCGAAATTAATCAAAAAGATTAGTCATATCGTTTATAAATCGAATGTTTTCTACGAAATCATGTTTCTCCTCTTTTTTCCTCAATGTATCTTAGTCTACTTAATCTACTAGAATAGTACGGTAATAATCACGTTTTAAATGTATAGAACATTAGAGGTTTCATCCTTTTATAGGATGTAGTACTATATTTTGATATAGTTTCGCTTAAATATAATTCTTAAATTTCGTTCATTTATATATTTCTATAATTCTATTATAGTATTAGTATTTGTCTCAAAATTTTTTTTAATTCACGTGAAATGTCAAAATCGATACCAGGTCTTACGCTTAACAGGATTTTATTCTACCGCTAATTGTAAGCTATTCTTCATGTTCCTAAACTCTTTCTTCATTTCATAATGGAAATTATTACCTGTTCTTATCTATATTCTGTAGAGAGAACGTATAAGCGAGAATATCTACTGGATCTCCGAATTCTTGCATTTTCTTATCGTATGCCTCCGCGTGTTAAGAGTTAAATGAGCGGGAATAGATGTGGTCTATATTCACTTATGTATCTCAAGTTCTCACCCTCGAAATCGATAGCAAGTAGGGCGGTGCACGGAAGCCACTGCCGTTTTGATTGGTCCTCAAGTATCTTGCTGGTCGTCCGCGGTGATTTTACGATGGTCTCCTTCAGCTAGAATAGCTAGGATGCTCAATCCTTCTAGCGCTCGGATTTCCCTGGTAATTCGTGCTCTCAAATAGCAACTGCGATTTCTATAGGCATACATATACAAAACACACAATTTTAAGTTTTATATCATATAGATGACTTTCTAAAAAAATTCGATGATTATGATGTGTCTATTGAAATTTTTAATTTCTCGCGATCCTCGGCGATATTCAAGTGAATGATGTAACATTTACACATAATAGAGAAAGGACATGATAAATTAAATTAAAAACTAAATAAAAACTTTTGTTATTTTGTAAGCTTGCTTACTAACGCGATTTTTATCACGGTAACATACGTTTAATTACTCAAAAGGAAGCGGGACCAATTATCTTATGCCCATATTTTCTACAAGCCTTTTAAAATTTCAGTTTTAATAGAATCGTTTTAATAGAATAATTTTCCTTCTCGGTCTTATTGCGTAAAACGTCGCGCTGCAATGCAGACATGCGTCTGTTCATGATCATATGGGGATATCAACTAGAGTCGTCTGTACGGATCAGAAGCGGGATCCATCACGGAGCTACCATTTTTCTTTGGCGCCGCGCGTGGCGCGGGTCCGCGCGATAGGTAATATCTCTCGTAAGAAACGCCCTTGCGTGATCGTCCGCGTACCCCGCGTACCCCACGTTGGTACCGCGGCTCCGACGTCTAGACGGCGGAGGGAGGGTGTGGTCCCACTTGGTGGACTTCTCCGGCTGTGTTCGGTAGCGACTGGCCGAAAACCGGTAGTCGGCGGTAGGGCGGTGCACAGTAGCGACTCTTCTTTGGTTGGCTACCGGCCTTCTCGCTGTGGTGAGCGAACGAACGAGGGCTACCGCTCCTTCCTTTATTCCTCCATACACGCGAGAACGAGTGCACGCACATCGTGCCCGGACTCGCTTGGTTGGCCGTTCTCCGTTCTTCTTCGATTGGCTGCCGGCTCCTTGTACCACGCACTCCGCCCTTCGTATCGCGCGATAGAACGGAAGGTACTCGCGACTGCCCTTCTTCTATAAGGGTCTCGATAGTTCTGAATGAAATGAAATATGATACTGTGTCGGACGTTGAGCACGCGCCTCTTCTGTGTTGACCTCGTAAGGAGTAATTGTCAAATCCAGCGAAGCCCCTTTTTTTCTTATGAAGAAATCAGCGTAGAGCAATTATCTTGGGATAGGTGTTTGGTGAACTCAATTACTATTTTTTAGAAATTTTTAATATCTGGAAATTCTGGAGGTACTATGAACGTATATTATTATATGTATTATTAATGGTTATATACATTTGTAATATTGAATCCATTTTTAATGCATTTTTCTAAATTTTGCTCTTTATAAAATTTTGCTTTCATAAAAGAAAAAAACTAATTTTCCGCGTATTCGTCTCAATCACATACAGAATACAGTTTTCCTTTTATACTTTCCTTTTGCACAAATTGAATTAATGTTCATGAATAGCACGATTACCTTTATACGCTGAAGAAGTTATGTTACATGATGTCTATTTTAATTGCTTATTTAATCGTGCGCGATTCCGTTCACGTCAAGAGGAAGCCCCACTTGCTTATTCCGCTCGATTCGTTTCCCTCCCCTGGCGCAGTTCACAACAAAATTCACTTTCGCGCAGCTTCGTACATATCAAAACGGCTTCGCCGCCTATTCGCAAATCTCCTAGTCTAGTATGGCGCATCCATAAACGCGAGCGTCTACATATATATCGCATTATCATACATTACCATACATTATCATACATTAAATGAAAGCATTCGATCACGCGAACTCGGTAGGCAAAACGTGGTAGCTGGCGAACGATGTTCGCTTTCCTGCGATATACACGCGGCCGCGGCGCGCACACGAGTGCCAGTCGTTAATTCGCGCGCTCGCATTCATCCGCGCCTCGCAATCGCCCCGCAAATCTCATGTATACGCGTCCCGTTTGCACTTGCGATCTCATATATCTTTCACGCGGACATTCATCCCTTTATCCCGCAAAAATGTCATTCGAGACGAAATTATCGGCGGTTTATTGTCTGCAGTTACACTTGACAGTTGCTGGCTATTTTGATTCGCGCGCGGTCGAAATTCAGCGGGACTTAGCGGTTATCAGAGAACACGGTCATTTATCATCGGCCTCAAGATTATTTGCACGTTCACTCACCGGCCGCATCGTCTGTAATATAAAACCTGAGCGTTTACACGGCTAATGTCGTTTTTCCTCGGCACCCAACTCATTAATGCACAACTCATTAACTCTTCGCTTCGCGCAAAGTGAGAACCTGTTTCTTGCCGCAAGTACCCCGTCTCGGGTAATACAAGCGTACTGTGACCTCGTAACTCTTCGACAAGATTGCCATGTAGTAGCCGGTGTGTTACCGTTCGTTTCCACGTACGGTATATCAATATACCTGCGACAGAAGCGGACTCGCGTCGATTTGCCATTCAGAAAGTATACAAATTCAAAGGAAGGGAGGACAGGCATTTCAAAGGGTCTATTTATTCTAAACTCTCTGGAGACAAATTGTTGTTTCGTGCGATTTCTATTTTAACAGCTAGGCTGTGGCGGATGTCTGATTTGTACTATGCAAAATTTCGAGGAAGGGTAGGCATGGCATTTTAGAGGGTCTATTTGTTCTAAACTCTCTGGAGACATAAAAGTTGTTTATTTTTCGTGCGATTTCTATTTTAACAGGCTGCGTAGATGATTCGTGCTGTGCAAAATTAGAAAAGGTATCGTGAGTTTCCCTATCTGTCTCTTTACTTACGGTTTTCCTTGGGGACGATCTTGGGTCCAGAAGGTTTGCACAGAATCGTAAATCCGGATGTAACTAATACTCATCCTAACGGAAGTGACGAAGATGTTTTTCTGTCACCCGAAGACAGCTGTGTACGTATATTGTCTCCGCGTGAGTTTTTTTTTACGCTTATTATTTTCACGTGCATCAGCTGTTATCGGACGAATATTTACAAAGTCTGAATCAGCGTCGGACGTCAACGGGCAGACGAGGGCAGACGACGGCTGCTGATGTTTTTCCCGCGTGGGTAGAAGGGCGGGAGGGGGAAGAGCGGAAGGAGCTGAGCTCCTTTTTTATGGAACGCGGAGTCGCGCGTAATGCGCAGTTCCGATTAGGCTCCACCGCCCGTTAGCCAACGCTAACCAACCGGGCTACGCCCAGGCACCGCTTATTACTCATTCGGACACGCCACTTTATTCGAGCGTGCGCCGTGCGCTTAATGCGAGCCGGTAGCGACTGGCCGACGCTCCTGTACAATGGCCGCGCCGCCGCGATTGGATCCCGCGGGCTATTTTTTTTCTTCTTTAACATACCGATTCCAATTCGAGAACCGTGCCATTAGACCGTGGCGATACGATTCCGATCCCTCATTCATATCCTGAGTATCGTGTGCGAGGGAGTCCCAAAAGTAATACTTGCACGCGAGGTATAATTTAGCATATCGTACAATTCATATTTTTCCTTTCTAATTTTATATAGTGGAAGGAGTGTCTTCTCTCGGAATGTACCTATACGCGTAGATGTGCGGAAATATTAAGCGGTCAAATAACGAATTTTTGACGCGTGAAAATGACCCCAGTGGAATTCGGTTACATCAGACCTTTCGAATTATATCCAAAGTTTAAGAGACATCTCAAGGCGATCATGTTGAAAATTATGAACGTATTCAAAGTAAGATGTAAGAAATCACGAAAGATGAATCTCGAACAATTTTTAACTCGATGATTTTGAAGAATTATTTACGTGACAGAAAAAATACATTTAACATAAGGATAATATGATCGAGATAGAATAATATATGCGAACAGACCTTTTTGTATTTAATAGAATTGTCATAAACTATTTTATTTAAATTTTATTGAGGAACTTGAAAGTTAGCCCGTATATCAGTCGCATAAAAGTTAATCGGTGGCTCGTTGCTTTCGCGTTTCTTTTTGGGACTCGCGTCGCGAGCTCGGAAAATATTCTCGCGTGATTTGCGTGGCGCCGGATGGCGAGCATAAAGATTACGGATCGTACTTGCGGCGTGCATTTAGCGCTAATAGTGGCTGCTTCTCTTCCCCCTCGATTACCACGCTACAGCATCCCGTATGAATGAAACTTAAAACTGGACAGAGAGAGTCGCGTTTGAAATTAAATATGCCCGGAGGACGTGTCGGAGCTAATGATTTAAACTCGCGAATCGAGCAGACGCGCCCAATTAGGAAACTAGTCATTAATTTTTTTTCGGAAGCAGCTTTTTATAGGCATTCACACTGTGTTTTTTTAGAAACGTAATACCGAGAAACTTAACACAATAATAAGATGTAGTCACAAAACTTAAAATAGTACATTATTTCTAACAGATTTTATAAAGAAAACCTTGCTTTCTTATCATTTAACATTTATTTTTAACATTTATTCTTAATTTTATTTAGAAATATATAAAAAAAATACCAGTTTCTTACAAGTTTCTTTGTAACTTTGAAAGATTTTTATAGTTATAATATAATATTATTATGTAAAAAGTGTCGTAATACAAATTTATAAAATAAAATAAAATTGAACTTAAAGCTTACCTGACATTTGTATGAAAATTCTTAATTTTCAATTTTTCTTATTGAAGCATTAATTTAATCTGTTTTTATTTGTTGTTTCTTGCAGAATTTAATATTACGATAATGTTGTAACATAAAGTAGCGAATATTTCTTCAATTGTATCGCTGATTTGCATTGAAATTAAGCAGAACAAAGCTTACCTGTGATGTTTCTACAAAAACTGTAGCGTTCTGTATATCTTGCCTATAAAAAACGGGACTTATTACTTTTCGCATATCAAGAATTATCATATTTTAATAATACCTCGCAACAGGCTTTCCTCGCAGAATCAGCTTGTAGTCATCTTGTTTCAGGATTAACCTTTATATACATGGGCAAAGTACTTCCCTATGTCGTTCTAAAAGCGTACTCCCGATAAAATATCGCGAGAATAATTCGATCGGAGAGAATTTCTATTCCGTAAGGCGCATCGGCATGCGCGCGTCCCTCCACCTACGCATCTTCGTAAGGAATGCAAAATACTTCAGAAGTCGCTTCAACGTTACTAACCCGTTGCTCGTAGGCAACGGCGCTTCGCGTAAATATCTCGTCGGGGATACGGGCGTCCCTCTCGCGGAATACAGCTCCGCTCTCGCGACTCCGGGTGATTCCCTCGAGCGGGCGCGGAGTCAGATCGGAGGAGAATCATCGATTCTGTGCTCTTTGCAGGCAGCGATACGAGAATTCTCTCGCGACGTGGTACAAGCAGTGATCTCACTCCCAGGAGTCAGCCCGAGACTAGCTTTTGCGCGGGAGGCAGTAAGAGCGAGTCGAAGAGCGACAGTCAAGAAAGACAGATAAAGCGAGAAAGAGAGAGCATACGAAAGTCTGCGAACGAGGCAGAGAGAAAGATAAAGAAAGAGAGAGAGAGAGAGAGAGAAAGAGAGAGAGTAACGGAGAGGCACTGAGAAAGAGGACAGAGGGAGACAGAAGACGTGGTGGGAGTGACTCCGGGCGTTAGCGAGAGAGCGAGAGAGGCGGGTAGAGGGAAAGGAGAGATAGAGACTCGACCAAGAGAAGGAGCGGTGGGAATTTATAAGGATGTTCGCGATAATGCCGATGGAGACAGAGGGGCACGGCAGGGAGTTCGGCCGGCGGCAGAAGATGCGCGCCAAGTGCACGGTAGAGTTCGTCTGCAAGTACTGCCAGCGGCGCTTCACGAAGCCCTACAACCTCATGATCCACGAGCGCAGCCATAAGGACGACGTGACCTTCACCTGCGAGGTCTGCGGAAAGTCCTTCAAGCGGCAGGACAACCTCAAGCAACACAGGTACATCGCTACGTTTCGTTTTCACTATTTTTTTTTTTGTACTTTGTTAAACCGACAGTTTTTATTTTATTTTATTTTTTGTTTCGTTTTGTTTTCCCTTCGAGGACTTCTATTTTTGCGCGCTCGCACGCGGGACACGTACGTGATCTGGTCCATGATCAATCGCCGCGATCTTCGAGTATACTCTTTAGGGGGTCCCTTACAAGGGTCCGTATACAATTATGGCGTCGCGCATGTGAAAGAGAAACCCGCGACACACACACCTAACGTTGTAGAGAATATTGGCACACAAATGTTCCTCACGGAATATCGCGGCAACCGATCGTGAATCAGACGTCAGTGCGTGACTCTCACTTGCAAGAAAACCCGCACTCGAAAAGCAATAGAAAAGCCATCGGAAGACGTTTTCGTACATATATGTGCTCGTATATCTGCGCGTCCTCGCCGTTTGCCGCGCGACGAGATGGGATGATGGAAAATGATTAGTTCTCAGCCAGCAATCAGCTCGAGAAGTCGAGCTAGATTGAAATTAAGTGTCGTTAGATTACGTCATCAGCTATCGGTAGATATTTTCCTGTTGTGATTATTTCGCTTTTTTTTTACATGGCATGAACAATAAAGAATGAAAATTGTGATTCTATAGAGTAATGTAATCAATAATCATTTCGACACCGAACAGTGAAAAGAAACGTAAAGTTTCAACGATATTTTCATTGTGTATTAAATTATTTGTATTATTTATATTATTCGTCTTCATGCAATCGCAGAAACTACTTAGTCGCGGGTAAAGCTTTCAGTTAAGATGAGAGCGGCGCAAGAGCCTATAAGGAAACCGTCAAGACACCGATTTGATGTTTTCTGTAAAGTAAAAAAAAGATAGCAAAAAGAAATTAATATTTTATATTACGATTCACTTCGGGGACTGGTCCATGATTTGACAACTTGATAAGCAGCTCGTCGCTCGATGCAAAATCGCGAGACGCAAAACACGAGCCGTAACTTTTAATTAAATAGTGAAATAAAAATATCGCATTCATACAAAGGTGAATCGAATATTAATGTCATACGGAAACGTCTCACGATGGTCCTTCAGTTATAACCATTGATTAACGACGCTCGCGCAAATCGTTCCATGCGTAAGAGACTTGTCGTTCTAAAATGGATATTATAACATACATGCGTAGTATAAAGAAAAATATACAAATATCAACCGCACCCGTGTCAGTTTACAATTTTATAAGGTGTATTCTGTGTAATCCGAACTGTTCTATTTGTCGATCAAAAGACATTTTATTTTTGCTATGTGAGGATATCAACGCGCGACGAAGAAGATATATTTAAAGGTATGGCGGTGACACGATCAGAAAAGATACGATTGAGAAAGGTTTATATGAGTCATTTTTATGCATATAAAACTAGTTTAATCGTCGAAGAAAGGATGACATCACATTACAGCAGAAAAGGATTGCATCGTTTTGAGAACGACGCGATAATAAATCGTAATTAATTATGCTTTTTATGATAAATATTTTTTATTAATTTATTTATTATCGTGATAATAATAAGTTCCATAAATTCCTAAGACGTTAAATCAATGTGGTATTTTACGGATTCCAACTACTTGGAATGCAATTACTCGTGCTATATTTCATCGTTTTCCCGTTTTTCGGTCAAAATACCTCTCAAGTCGACAGGGGAGTTAAGACGCGCTAACTATCGCTTAAACGGTCACGGTGCTGGCCTCGAGAAGGTCAAAACCATTGGTTCGGCCGAAGGAGACCGCTACCGCGTTGACCTTTCGCATCAATAGCCTTGTAATGTTGCAACGTGTCGCCTTCATTCGCCTCACGGTGGATAGAGGCGCGAATCGGGAGAGAGAAGAGATCCGCGAAGATCCGCGAACTTTGCACTCCTTCTCTCGCCTACGGGCGCGAGTCGACGAGTCGGCGGCGGCCGGCGTGTCGGTTCGGCGAATCGCGCGGCGTGTGCACGCGCGCGCGCGTGAACGCGCGTAGAATCGGTCTGACCCATAAATCAGTCTGAAATAATGCTGCCCCCGCATGGAACGTGTGCGCGAGCGCGTTTGAACGAGCGAGCGATAAAATAAATCTTCAATACTGGTGGATACTAATGGATACCTTGTATGTAACGGCGGTGGTCTTGTTTTCTGTTCTGTTGTAGATGTGGGTGGCGGTGAGCGGGAGCTCTGAACCTCCTGCACCTTGACACACACACATACACACACATACAAGCACATACACGTGCACATATACACGTACATTCACACACACATACACACACACACACACACACACACAGACCCAGACTCAATACACACGCATACACAAGTAATAACAATTAGCAGCAACAATAATACGACAACAGAGTATATGGCAATAATTGCGACACTACAATCTACAATCATGCACTTTTATTATTTGATCACCCGCACTTTTTCCCGATCGCGGCGAAAGCGCGATCAACAACTGTGCCACTACCGCCACCACAGAAAACCCCAGCATGCGTATACTGCTTTTTCTTCTTCTTCTTCTTCTTCTTCTTCTTCTTGGTCTTCCTCTTCTTCTTCTCCTCTGTGTCTGCCTCTTTCGCTATTTCGTCTTCTCACTATGTCTGCGACTTTTATTACCCTCACTACGACTTCTTCATCGTCGGCTATTTCTTGTACTAACACACGGCGCGCACGGGTCCCACGCTTTAACGAGGCGGCGGAAAATGATTGATAGATAGGAAGGAAATTTAGTGAATGTGAGTGGGAAGGAAGCGAAGGGTTTTTTTTCCCCCTGGAAATGTACTCTCCTCATCTTCCGATTTCGACCATCTCTGTTCCAGGAGCATACACTCTGTTCCCTACAAGGGCTCCAACGGCTACTCAAATGGCTATTCGAATGGCTACTCTAGGTATTAGAAGCCATCCGGCCAACTACTATCCTAAACTCCCGTAGACACGCGTTTCTCTTTCTCTATCGAATGCTCTAGCTACCGACCTAGTTCTTTCCCGAATGTCCATCCTCTATTAGAGCATATCCTTCGCGTCGATCCGACATGTCGCACCTGCAAGAGATGTCGTGTTTGCGTACGGCAAGGGAATCGCGATGCTCCGTCGATTTTTGTTACCACCCTCGTCTATCACCCTCGCATCTAGTTCGTCCGTCCTGCTTCTTTGAGTTTTTTTTCGCTTCTGTTTACCCTCCTGTATTCCGAGCCTACACCCAGACGTCAGCCACATCAGAGGAATCTACGATTCGACCCGACATGAAGCACCGTCGCAGAGTCGAGAACGACGGAGGCAAGTTGGGATGCAGCGATACGACGGACAATTGTAATTTCATCGAACTTCCTTTGTAATTCGATTCACTCAAACGGGTAACGATATATTCTTGTTAAATACATGCCGAGCGATTGACGATGTTAGAAGCGTTTACGAAATTCACCGTTTAAGATATGACTGGACAGATGATATCAGATATCATGCACAATTCGATAACTCCCGCACCTCTAATAAATACAATAGTCAGCGTTTTGTATAAGATGCACGAATATGATAAAGGAAGATAGATGCGATTGCGGAAAACATGTATTTGTTGAAATATTTAGAGAAATTATTTGATTGTGAAACTTTTTTCTTGACGTGCTCTGTTTTAAATATTCACTATCCTCAGTAAGACATATTCTAATCATCTCGTTAAAAAATTTTCCGACCGATGACCGTTTCACGGTAAACGATAAAATTGTCGACATGCCGAATCGAGTTAGGTCTTCTTGTTGTGTACATAATATCGGTATTTCGATCGAATGGACAAACGACGGAAGCTTCAAGAATGAGAAGATGAGAAAATGATGTTTGCATAGGAAATCGATCGCACGATAATAAAGAAGCGAACCGGCGATTCGTCCAGGAATCGGAGCGGGCGATACACACATTCTTCCGCATTTTCATAACGGAAGCTATCACGACGCTGCTCCTCGCACGCTCCTCGGGCTAACGTCCTAAATTGGACTACGTAATAACCCACTAGCTCTATATAAGAACCAGCGCTGGTCGGAGGATACACTGTTCGCTTCTTCGCGTGCTACCGTGGACCACGCCCAGGCCCAGGAGCGACGTCTTCCTGACCTACCACCTGGCAATCAGGCCGCGGAGCTACTCGGCTTCCCCTTCAGAAAATCCATATAATTCTGCGCGACGGCGATACGACGGCGAGTCGCGCATCGCCGGGGATCGCCGGCGCGAAATCGTATACATATCACCGCGAGCGTGCGCCGCGATTGTTGCACACGAAGACACGACCGGACAACCTTGGGGCCACGTGGGGCTACAAGATGGGTTCGCGGTGGTATCGTTGACGCAGATATCAAGTCAGCTGAGATCGGTTTCCAGCGGGTGAACTCTCGGCGAGGTGTCTCTTCGATTCCGGCCGAGACGCGATCCATTGAGGTAGAAGAGGATCAACCGTTATTATTTCCGAGCGTCGATCCATATCTTTCTTTCTTTCCTCTCCTCCTTTTTTCCTGTATCATTCAGTTTCTCTTTTCCCTTTATTTTCATACCCGTGCGGATCGCGTGATGAGTAATATGGTGCTCGAAACGGTGGGCGGAAGGGAGAAGATTGCACGTGATGGAGCAATCGGCACCATAATGCTCGAAGTAGGTAAACGTGAAGCTGTACGACGTGTAGATGATGATGATGCTGATTCCCCGCTTGCTTCTCGAGCTAAACACGAGAATCGAGTGGGAAAGCACGTGTGGCGAGCATAAATATAATCGTCGCGTTCGAAATCGTTCAACTCAGATGCAAACTGCAGGAACCTTCAATTCTCATAGCGGAGTCGGTAGGAATATATTATATATGTATATGTAACCTGAGAGATTTTTAAGATATAAAGCTAACTGAAATAAGTTTGTTCACGGATCACATTCTGATTATAACCACATGTTAATGTTTTAAATGTATTTTTCGGCAATGTAAATCACGAACTGTTTAATTATATTATGCATATCATAGATTTTCGTGTATTTTCAAAGAAAATCAAAATTAAATTCGTCACATATGCTCCCATCTTATATTCCTACCTTCTCTTCTAATTTACGTTGCTTGATGCTATCGATATATCTAGATACATATATTGCGCAAAGAGATATCAACAAAATTATCATAATCAGAATAATTCTTGTGCTTCTCATTCTAACCACCCTTCGACTCGAGTAACACTCGAGTCCATCGTGATAAATTGTAAAGAATGTATTTTTTTGTATTAAATTTAATATATTTTGTGGCATGCTTTTCAAACTGTATGTACATTAAAAGGAGAATGTTTGAACGTGAGTAATGAGAGTTAAGGAATTTGCGTGACTGGTTCTAATGTATCCTTGCAACGACACCGTTAAATATCTTTTCGCTTTCCACACGACGACAAAAAAAATCACAAAAATTTCAAAATGGTGTTAGTACAATGTAATGCGTGTCTTTGCTACGGCGTCTCGAGGATATCGAGAGCTGCCATTTAGCTGTAAACTCGCACAAGCTAATATAAAAAAAAATTATATAAAAAGAACCACGATGGCTTCGGGAGCAAACAGAATTTTTTTTCTTTCTTTCTTTTGAATTCCTCTTATAGTGGAATGAAATCGCGGTCGTACTTTGTACATAGCTTAAATACGTATCAATGCGCGTCTTTAATATTATTATATTAATTATTATTATTGATTATTATTATTAATTATTATTTTATGGATGTTATCGAAATAGCGCTTAGTCATTCTGTATTGTAGCCGCCGATCAAGGGCCTCACGAGTGTAGAGCTGCATTTCGTTGTGTACGGTATCATAGGAGTGATAATAATGTTATTTTATTATTATTAAAATTATTATTATATTATATTATTATATTATTACCATGATGTATCAATATCAATGCATATATCGCTAGCTTTACACCACCGAGGGGCACACGGTCAGCCCGGTAGGAAGGTTCATGTTCTTTGTCTCTCCAAGAGAGATGAGATAACATGCGCGTGATGATTCCATGTATGCTTTCCGCAAATCCGTATTGTATTAGTGTGTGTGGGAAAGTTCCACTCCGACGGACTACAAATAAATTCGCCAAGTTGTAAAATGCTACTTCGCCCATATTTCTTTTATAAATCCTCTTTAACGTACATTAAAATGTTTGATCTCAAAATCTCCTTTCTATAAATTTTGAAACTTTTTTTCATGTTACAGGATAATTACAGGAATTTTTTGTGGTATTTATTTAAGTTATATTCGAATTTTACAATAGAGCACTCTACAGTAAGTCTAATTAATTAATTCGAATGGATTCTGATTTTATTTCATTGCAGCATTTTTTGAGTGCACGCAGCGTAGTGCAAAGTAAGAATTGTAATATAGGACATCCATTTTACAATCGCGACTGACAATTAATCTGCATCTGGTTGAGGCAAGTTGACTGAGATGACTCAATCGTAGAAATTATCGGGATAATTCATTCCTGAAGATCACACGGATTCGTCGTCACGCAAATCACAGCCAGTTAAGCGACGGCCGGCAGCTAGGCGAAGGAGAAGAGTAGCAGTGCCTGATCAAGACAGATCTCCCGCAGGCGTGAAATAGCAGGCTGCGTGAAACCATCCTTCTTGTCACAATAAGTCAACCGACGATTAGTAGTATATCGTGTTCTAATTGATGTAAAAACACGGCAAGCGTGTATTAAAATAAATGAAAAAATATAAGAATATATAAATGCTTAAATAAATTAGAGAACGGTATGTTTAGAATTTTTTTTTAATTTATCACTTCCTGACTTTGTATTTTAGTCATCGAGATTAAACATGCTGCATTAGTCAGCGATATTAAATTAGCCATTGTTTGGCGTGTTTTGACGTCTCTCGTGCACAATTCTTCCATCGTGCACTTTGCGCATTGTGCAACGCGTTTAAAGAGTTCGAAGTTGTATTCCATGAGCGAATAAGATTGCACGCGGCGCATCCTGTTCATTTTATGTTGTGGCTGGAAGCTGCTCTCACCTCCTGGGGCAAAAGTCGTGAGCTGAATGTCATGGTGATTGAATACGACCCACTGATGTGCTTCCCGAGTTGTACAGACTACGCGCTATTGGTTTTCCGCAGTCTTCTTAATGTTTCGTAATTTTCGTCTAATTGCCTCAACCATTAATATTATATAATAATAGTTCACGGTTTGTTAATAAATGTTTGTTTACAATAAATTTACGCATGAATTTATTTGTATCAAAGAAATGTTTCCAAAAGTATTCCTTCTACAAACGACTTTATCTAAACAAATCGCGAAAAGCACATAGCAGATAAAAGTTATATAGTAGATAACATACATATATAGTAGATAAAAAACAAAAATTATAGGAATCTATAGTTTTAATTTAATTGGAGAAATATTGTATATAAAGATCAATGTTATTCAGGGAACGAAACGTAGACTGTCTTCGCTACCATGATATTAATTATTAAATAAAGTTTCTCTACTCTGCAAGGCAGAGCCTGTATGTGTAGTTTCCTCAATAACATTTCAAGAAATGCATTCGCACCCGCGCCTCTTTGATCGCTGTTTATTACTGCCTCCGCGAACTCTCAACCGGGCATGCAACTGATAAAGCCGCTTAGCGTATTATACGAACGCGTTTCCACACGCTTATAGTTATGGGCGTGTGCGGTGTGTTAAGCTAGCGGGCAGAAGCTTCCCATGGAACTCTCACCTCCGCGGGCGGAAAGTGAACTTCGCGGCCGACGCGACGTTCAGGCAGTCGTGCAGCCGCCGCCGCCGCCGTCGCTGTCGTGGCCGCGATCCTTTTTCGGGTGAAAGGTTGGCGAAAAACGCTCGACGGCAGCTACCGCGGTAGCACCAATGCCACGGCTCGCTTTCACTACGGAAGAGATCAAATTTTTCTCCGAAAACATACACACTTGAACGGTAATCATTATTGACAATACGATGAAACATGTAAATCTGAGTACTTCTGTTTCATAATTTTTGACAGATCTCGATTTTTTAGTGCATTTTTTGCAATTCTCGAAAAAAATAGATATTGTTTTTCCGTTTGAAAGCGATAGTATCCTGACACAAGGGTCAGGGCCACAGAACGGAACGTAAAAGAAAGAAGAAGAAAGGAATGTGGCAGTTGAAACCGTACCCGTTATTGCGCGATTGCGTATTTACTGCGTAATGATAATTATACAGGAAGAGACAATATCAGTCTCTCTCATATATAGACGCCACTCCTCTCAAGGACCTCTTTGTTACGTTGGTGAACACGAGTCTAGATCCGAGCGCCTTTTTGCGAAAAGATCAACGGAGATCAATAAAGCAAGCTTGGCGGCGTAGTTAATCGATGAAAGCAATGAGACGAGGTCACAGATGAATACAGATACACGTAATGACGTTTACGTTATAAAATATTATTAAGCATATAGAATCGAATTGAGAAAAGGCGATACGCGAGAAGATAATCGAAGACGGTTACGTGTGAAAGTGAGTGCGATTGTGTATAGTAGCAAAAGGTGAGTGTCTAAAGGTTAAGAAGGTTACTATCGCTAAATCATCATTTTAAAGCGGATAAGGCGCGATGTATGAGATTTAAACCGCAATGTGCGTGCTGTAATAAAAAGGCATGAAAAACATCTGAAAAAACAAATAGAAGGATATGAATAAAAGGTATCAGATTAATTTATCTTCTTCCCATTCGAAACTATCGCACGCAAAGAAAATTAAAAAGTAGACAGTGATAAATACATCTCTTAATGTAAAACAAATAACTTGTTCACTTTAGAAATACGTTACAATAAAATAGAAAGTTTTTTTTTTTAATATAAAGAGATTTCTTTGTCCCACAATCACAGCCATTAGGAAAAGTCAAACACTTTCATTTTAATTGAAAACAAGGCAGATTTAAAGGAAAGTTTGAACAAAAGTCTTATCAAGAGTATATATATATAAGAACAAACTTCGCAGAAGTCAGATTGTAGTTTCACAGAGCAAAATACGAAAGCGCGCGCAGCTGTGCCTGAATGAAAGAAACCGGCCGGTGAAGGCAAAGGTAAAAAGAAGAGGGAAAAGGCGGGTGCGCGCGCGAGGCGTAAACGCGCGCGGGGATATCGTTGCGAGTTAGTATCGGAGGACGGAGCACCTAAAGGTTACTACCGCATCATCGCCACGTCAAACTACTAGCTAGATTAGTCCCCCTTGGGCGAGCACGAGGTGTGTTTTGCTCGACTAGGACTCCGTCTCTGTCAGACTCGCTCTCGTATACACGTTTCGCGACCGTGGTGTAAGCGTCCACCACACATTGCTAGGTTGGTAGGTAGGTAGGTCGGTTGGTCGCTCAGTAGGTATATTAAACGATCCAGTCCCCCGTGCTCTCCTCCTTCACGTGCCCGATCGTACTCTTTTCTTCTCTCTCTCTCTTTCTTTCTTCTACTCTTTCCCTCATTCCTCTTTCTCTTTCTCTCTCTCTCGCTCACTCTACCTGGTACTCTTTGCCGGCGCGGCTTCTAAGATCTGTGGGAGCGCCTTTCACCTAATTGTTGGCACAATATGTGAAGACGAAGCCACCACGGTTCCCATCGACTCCTGGAGATGATACTCCGACTCGTGGCGCCTAGACACAGACACTATCCGGACTCGAGAGGTCGACCGAGATCGTCTGCGACCGGAGGGGACTACAGGCAATGCTACAAGTAGGTAGGACGATAGCGCGTAAGAGGTCACCTCGAAGAGCACCGCGAAGCTTACGGCTTGGCGATATGCACGGTCTTGCCAGCGATCTCTGTCTACGCGATGTAAATGTCGTTCGAATTTTTGTTGTTATGTAGTATTTAATATATACAATATGCTTCAGCATTTTTTTAAACGCGCGTTTAAGATAGTTCTCTTTTAAAAAGAGTTAACATAAATAAGTATACCAATTAAGCGAAGATAGAGAATATTTTGTGCTAACAATAAGTGTTAAGTAAATTTTGATGCGCGTATTTATTAAAAAGCGAGACTGTATAGATACACGTACATTACATTGGATAAATTCGTGTAATCGGAAAACCAACACATACTATTATTTGTTTCTTTTATAAATATTGTTTCTTAATTTTTTCCGTTATTTTAAACTTTGAAATACTTTTCAACTAAAATAAAAATTTAATTAAAATAGAAACACTTGTTAGAATTTGAAAAAAAGAATTTCACTCGAAGAGAGTGAAGAAATTGGCATATTAAATTATAAAAACAATATAAGAGAGTTATTAATTTTAATCGATATTGATAACGCATTTTATGACACATCGTTGCTCCAAATTTCTCGAGGGATCTTCCGCTAGGTGCTTTATTTCGGATTGGAACAAACGCGAACAGAAATGGCAATGTTCTCACGCGACATTGTCCGTGGTAAATTGTGAGCTGAGCGATTTCGAGCGCGGAAACGGCGATGCTGCCCACGAGTGGAAGAGCCGCGACGAAGCCGGCGGCGCGGGGCGTCCGCCATGAAGACGACGGAGTCTCTTCCGTTGTCCCCCTTCGGCGATTCGCTACGATCTATAAATTACGAGACAAGAAAACCACCTCTCTTTCTCTCTTTCCCTCTCTCAATCTCTCTTTCTCTCTCTCTTTATCTCCGCCGACGCGAGTGAGGTCCCGTTGTGACTCACCGGTGACCGGCGCTCGACGCGCGCGACGTCGCGCCACGCCGCTCCGCGCCGCGCCGCGCCGAAACGAGCGTGCAACGGAGGAAAAGAGGTTGCACTGCTGCCGTTGCTGGCTGCTGCTGCTGCTGCGCGGACTTCAACAATAACGATTATTTACGCCGACGGTGTATCGACGTTGACGTTTAACGTTTCTCCCCCACCGCGAGGCGAACGATCCGATCGGTCCCCTCGCTCGGGAGGCAGCTCGGGGGCCACGGCGCGCGGAGAAATTATGGCCCCTCTTGGCGTAATTAATTCCAGGTGACGAAGTGAACCTGCTCCGATCGCCTCTGTCCGCGCAAGATCGTGAGGAGGAGGCTATTCAGGCGATCCTGTGTGCGGTGATCATCGTGTCGTAATAAAATTCTAGCATAAAGAATGGAAAAAGTTGAGATGACAAATGTACGCGAACAGGAT